TACAGGACATTCTGATTGCAACAAATGGAGCTTATTTGCATCCTGATCTAGACAAATTGCTTTAAAATTGCAAAATTTGAACAGTTGATGTTGACTGGATAAAGAATTAATTTTAATTATTTTTAGATCAGTGAGTGTATTGTGATTATGTTTGTTAAAAGAATCTTCATCTTTTAGACATATTTTCTGTTGTGTTTCTACATGAAATCAAATGACAAATCGGGTTTACTTCAAAACAATTGGGGGGATGGGGTGAACAAAACACAGATGACCTAAGCCTTAGTTGACTATTGTTAAAAGTGGGTGATAGTCAATAAGACAAGAGAAAGACATACAAGGAATCCAAATAGGTAAGGAAGAAGTCAAACTATCACTCTTTACAGATGATATGATAACATACATAGAGAACCCCAAAAACTCCACAGAAAAATTAATCAAAATAATCAATCAGTTTAGTAAAGTAGCAGGATGCAAAATCAACACACAAAAATTAGTAGCCTTCCTATACACAAACAACAAATTTGAAGAAGAAGAAATCAAGAAAACCATCCCTTTTATTATTGAAACAAAAAAAATCAAATACTTGGGAATAAACCTAACAAAATAGGTAAAGGACCTACACAAAGAAAACCATAAAACACTGTTAAAAGAAATAAAGAAAACACAAAGAAATGGAAAGACATCTCCTGCTCATGGAATGGAAGAGTTACCATTATCAAAATGGCCATCCTACCAAAAGCAATTTACAGATTCAATGCTATTCCAATAAAAATTTCAATGACATTCTTCAAAGAAATAGAACAAATATTGACGAAATTCATATGGAGCCACCAAAAACCCCAAATAGCCAAAGGTCTCCTGGAAAAAAAAAAGAAGGGAATGGAGGCATCACACTCCCAGACTTCAAACTATACTACAAAGCCATAATAATCAAAACTGCATGGTACTGGAACAAGAACACAGACCAATGGAACCAAATAGAAAATCCAGAAATAAACCCACAGATTTATGGTCAACTAATCTTTGACAATGGAGCAAAGAAAGTTTGTTTAATAAATGGTACTTGGGAAAACTAGGTTACTACATGCAAAAGAATGAACCTTGACTACCACCTCACACCATGCACAAAAACTAACTCAAAATGGATTAAAGAACTAGACATAAGACCTGAAACCATAAGATATATAGAAGGAAATATAGGTGAAACACTACATAGCATACACGTCAGTAACATCTTTATAGACACATCACCCAAAGCAGGGATAGGGAAGGCAAAGATAAACAGCTGGGACTACATCAAATTAAAGAGCTTCTACACAGCAAAAGAGACAGTAACCAAAACAAAGAGAAACCCCACCGACTGGGAGAACATTTTTGCACACAACACTAATGATAAAGGACTGATCACAAAATCTACAAAGAGCTGATGAGACTCAACAAAAACAAAGAAAATAATCCAGTCAAAAAATGGGCAGAAGAGCTAAAAAGAAGTTTCTCCAAAAAGGAAATGCAAATGGCCAACAGGCATATGAAAAAATGTTCAACATCACTTGTCATCAGGGAAATGCAAATCAAAACTACCATGAGGTACCATCTTACACCAGTGAGAATGGCACATATTAAAAAAACTAGCAACAACAAATGTTGGCGAGGGTGTGGAGAAAAAGGAACTCTCCTGCACTGCTGGTGGGAGTGCAAACTGGTCCAACCACTATGGAGAGCTGTGTGGAGATTCCTCAGTCTGCTAAAGATGGAGCTTTCACATGATCCAGCAATTCCACTCCTACGTATTTACCCAAAGGACACAGAAACATTAATTCAAAAAGGCACCTGCACCCCTATGTTTATAATATTACATAAGCTTTTAAACTTACCCTTAAGCAATAGCTATTAAAAAATGTCCTCATTAAGTTCGAGATGGCATTTTGGCTTCTATCTTCCCTAAAAATAATCAGACCAATTTGGTCTCTCTTGCTTATTCTCTGCTTCTTTTCTTCCTTCATTTCTCTAAGCAAAATGGAAAGAGGAAGAGTAATGATCATAAAAAGATGCTACTTCTGCTGTTTCCGGCAGAAGATCATTTCTTAGAGAGTAATCCTTTGACTTTATTGCAAGCTCCTTTCCTACCATGCTGTGGACATTTACCAACGACTACTTGAAAACAACAAAGCCTAGTATCTATTAATGTTCATAAATTCAAAGTCCTGGTAGGCATTCAATCCATTTTTGTCAAATGAAGTATTTCAATCACAGAATCTTAAGAGACAATAGCGGCTCAGGACCTATGTGATATACGGTCTATTGCCACTAAAGCAGCTCTATAATCCAGATCTCAGGACTCCCACCCAGTCAGCGATTCCTCTCCTAAACTACTGTGCCCCTCAACAGTTTATCAAAAGTGGTCAACAGGACCTAAAGTGAGATACTAAGTCCAATGGTAGCGTAGGGCTATACATAGCTAAACAATTATCATAAAATTATCAATTAAGGACATGTATTTACTACTGAAAAGATTTTTGAACACAGCATTTTGTTTTAGATTCCTTTTCAGATTTCTTTATATGAAGTGTGTAGAAAGAGTTTCCCATTCTAGAAAAACTCAAGAAAGGCCTAGGAAATTCAGATAGATAGAAAGTCCTTATAGGGTTAGTTCTCTGGCACTAAACAGATGATTCCCATTAGAGAAATTCACCATCCCTCCTGCCCCATACTTATACTTCATGATGATGCTAAAATAATGAGGACAACTAAAATTGTTAGTACCAAGGTCACCTTCAGAAGCCTGAAGGTGCAGCTAGATTTGGGGGTTAGGGAGAAAAACCAATTAACTATTTACTCTGTTCCAGGAATTGTATTACTATTTACATACACTAGTTCAACATAACTCCTCTAAACCCTCTGAGATAGACATTATTTCCATTTAACAGACAAAATTGAAGTTCAGAAAAGTCACGGGCCTGCGGAAAACCAACAAGTCCAGATGCAAACCCACATGTATCAGACACCAAGACCGTGATTCATCCACAGAGTTAAGTTCATTTTTGTCAAGAGTTCTAGCAGCTTTGTCAGCACTCAAAGAGCTCAAGAAGTTTGACACATGATTATAACCTCTATCATCCACTTCTAAATCTTCTAAAAATAGAAGCTGTTCTCTTCCTGCTTACTTCATTTTGGCTCACATCATCAACAGAAATATTTGTAACACCAGGCAAAATTCACTGAAGAAAGCGTTTTGACCCGAGTCTCGGTCTATCTTTAAAAGCTGACAAGTAATAAAGCGTGAAGCAATGTCCATTAATTTATGTGAGGTCACAAATAGTGGCTGGCCTGGATATTTTCCTGAATGTAAATACCCAAGTCAATATTCTCAGCCCTCTGGCGTCATGCACACTCTAAGACTACTCCTAGAGGCCCCGCAGGACCAGCAGGCAGCTGACCTGCAGCTTCATTTCACCGGGGACCCAAGAGTCATCCTTGCTCAGGGAGCACTGGGTGGAAAATATACCACCACCAACCCTGCCAATTGATAGGGGGCTGCTATCTTAGAAGGGAACATTATAATTAAGGAACTAAGAGAAGAGCAATATTTTTCCTTATTTATGTTTTATTAATGATGATGCCTTTGCACACCATCCTTTTCAGTAGGCATGCATGAAGGAATTATAGGAGGTGTCTGAAATAAGAACTTGCCTGCTACTGCCATTTGTGGGAAAACCCTTTTCACAGTGGCAATTTAAAATCAATCCTATAAAACGCATTGAACAGAAAAATAAAAAAAAAATAAGTCACCTTCCTTAACATTTTCTCACATAGCAAAAGCCAAATCTCTAGCAATGGAGGAGTTTAAATGCTGGAGGCTACTGTTCCTTCCTGGCCATCCATCCAACCCCACAGTATGATTTTTTTCTTTTCGAACAGCAGCAAACATTAATGGTTATGCTTATCAGGTTTTAGAGTTCACTCCTGCTTGAGCAGGATGACACACTTGGCAGGGTTTTGACAAAAGCTACTCTACGTCATCCCATTATCGGTCAGATGGCCACACATCCAGATTCCTCGCATGCACTTGTCAAACTCCTGAGAGGTGTCACTTGTGTTTGGATACCAGAGTCCATCACCACAGTAAGTGACAATACAGATAATGATACCCTCTTTGTCACCATCCCCAAAGTTTAATTACCATGCCCTGGCAATTTACTTGGAGGGAAAAGATAATACATACACTAAAACAATTTTGGAATTATATGCACGGATAAATAGCACTTATCTGTTTTCCTTATGTTAAGTCATTGCTATATTCTTTTTTTAGCACGCTTAACAATTGTGTTGGAGAAAGGACATCAAATGATGCTTAGAAATGTGATACACATTTTCATTTCACACTCCATCAGCTTTTACAACTGTAGCTCAATGAAATGTAAGAGAGAGCTTGGCAAACAGCCATATTTACCAAGGTATAAAATAGGGGTCAGGTTACTTTTTTTATAGGAAGGAAAAAAATGTTTAATTTTCACTCCACATGACTAAAGCAGACATTCAGCTAACACCCTAGAGAAAGGCACCGTAACCACGTATACTGACATGCTTTGGTGCCTACTCCACGGTCGGTTTTTATCATATTATAAACAGCTCCCTAAAGCAAGGAAATATTCCTTTCCTCACCCCCTTCCACTCAGGATCTACTGACACAGAAATATACTGGATCAGATCATTGGTGGTGTTAACTCTTTCACCTGAAATAGATGGCTTTTGCCCTTTGCTTCTGGCCTAGAAGCAGAAAAATGGCTTATTCCTTTCATAAGTAGAGATGCAAAGCTATAGGCATCAGCAAAAAAGCATCTTTCTGAAAATTCAGATTTCAGTCGGTCAGAAAGGATTAAAGTCTGCTGCATACATAAACAGGGAACTGTAAATGATAACAGCAACATGGCCGGGAATCACTGTGCTGCCACAGAAGCTGTTCTGCCAGTGGGCCAGAGAGGAAGACATCCCTCACTCACCTCTGTTAAACCGGAGACCTCGCCCTTTGCTAGCGGTTTGCTGATGGATGGTGTGTACACTTCGGCGTCTGATACCGGCTGCCCTTTCAAAAAATGTTTTCCTGATTCATAAATGTCCACTTCCACCATTTTCCCCATGAACGAGGGGTTCTTTGGCACTAAAACCTTTAAAAAAAAAAATCGAAGGTTTTATTGAAGCAAACTCTTTATTACAGAATAGCTTTAGATTTCTAGAAAGATTACAAAGACAGCACAGGGAATGAATTCCTCTATATACCACACCCAGTTTCCTTATTATTAAACATCTTATATTAGTATGATAGACTTGTCACAATTAAAGAGCCAATATTGATATGCTACCATAGCTAAAGGCTGTATTTTTCCAGGTTTCTCCTGTTGAGCCCTAGTATTCCTTTTCTGTTTTAGGGTGCAATCCCAAGTGGGCTCTGTCTTCCAGCTGCTCAAGGATCTGGGAACCTAGTAGGTAGGGAGGACACTGTTGGGAAGAGCTACCCAGCTGGAGGCTTGCTCTTTTGTGGCAGGACGCCCGCTGTCCTAGGGCATATGGGAGGCAGACCTGGGCAATCCCTGAGACCTCAGCGACTCACTTCTTGACTGGCTTTCTCGACTGTTCCTGGATGTTCTATGCAATGAAGAAAAAACTTAGAAAGCCCAGGAAAGTCCTATCCCTTCAATATCTTCCAAGTTAGCTGTCAGAGTAACGGCCTGAGGAGACACTTCGCGCAGCATATGTGTTTGGAGGAAAAGGAAGAACATTTAAAAGGAAACTTTCAGTATCCCAAAAAGTGGCATTTGAAGCTAAATGGCTCCATTAACTCGGTGGTTGCATTCCTTTCTTTAGCTCTGTTATAAAATGCATGTGTTTGTTAGTTCCACCCCCACAGACACTCACTACTCTGAAGGGTACTTTGGCTACTTCACAGGAAACTGTGAGATGGTCTCTTTTCACTAGAGATTTCTGATAAAAGTACTTATTTACCTTGAGCAAATGTTTTCCCTCCTTTGGGACGCAGAGGCACTCTGCATGTATTATGTCTTCCTTACACTTCTATTTTAGTGCTGGAGCTACTTGCCAATCTTTTTAAGTCAGGATCCAAAATAAATAGACTAATTCTAATCCAGCAATACTTTGATATCTGGATATAATCTTCATTTCTGGAACTCATCTTATTTAGAAAAATAATTCCTATGAAATCTTTGATATGTTTAGTTATAGACACCAAAAAAATAAATAAATAAAATAAAAAAGGCAGAAGAGCCAGAAGTTCCTCAGCCAATTTCTCTAAAATTGGAGCGTAGTCTTTCTGAGTTTGATTTTTATGACCACTGAGTACACTGCTTCATCAAAGTATAGGAAAAAGGTCACCTGGGTGGTGAATTACTCATGGCAAGCAGAGGAACTAAAAGAGCTTTAGTATCAGGATATGAAAGCCCTTTTAAATCAGTTTTTATAAAATAAGAAAATCTCTAGAGTAAACGATCCCTGGGAGATTGGGTACTATTCTGGGGGAAAATAACTCTCCTTGATCTGCTGCCTTGATCTGAATGAAGGGCTCAGTGTTTTTTCCCCCTCCGGTTTTAATAATTGGAAAAACCCTGACTGCTTTAAATTGGAGGAAACAGCTAATGAGGCATGCCATTGCCTTTAAAATGAAGGGGAAAAAAGTTCCCTGCTGAGGCAAAAACCCAGATGGCCAGAGAAAGGAGAGGGAAGAGGCAACCAAAATACAATCAAACTCTTCCCCAGGGCTGAGCAGAAGTTGGCCTGAATAGGAAAATGGCTCTCTGGAGTCAATTAATGAGATGGAAAATAGGGAAGAGACTCAGTTCAAACATCGAGAACTGGGAATCCTTCCTCAGCTGCAGTCTCTGAGAACAGAACAGGCATGTTTGGTCTGGGTCTTAAGTCCATCCCTACTCCCAGCCTCCCCAAGTGCCCCTCCCCCCACAATGTTTCCTGAGAATCGGGTGTCCTGTCTGAGATTATTCCAGATGGAACACTGATGCCTTTGCCGTGGCTGCTTCCTGATTTCCAGAATGGTCACTTTCCTGGCCCATCCCTTACCTGGACTTGCTCTCACTGTTTTTTTTTTTTTTTAAGATTATTTTTATTTATGCATGCATCCAAGAACTGGGGTGCAGGCCAGAGGTGAGGAGGGTGAGAGGATTCACCAGAGATAGAGTGGGGAGCACAACAGGCAGATCTACTGAAATAACTGTTGAGGGAACCAGGGGGCAAGACAGGAGAGGTCAGCCACACCATATATGGGTCAGCTCCCTAGCCAGGGATCAAACTCAGGCCACAGTGGCTGGCAATAGCTTGATAGCACTGAGACTTTCACCCCTGGAGCACCAGGGAGGCCCTCTGACTGGTTCCGAAGGACTTCCCAAGAGCTAATTCCAGCCATGACCCATGGAGAAAGTTTTCATGTCTCATTTGATGGAAAAGGAGAAACAAGTGATTTGATATTAAGAAAAGTTAATACAATTCAGGAATGAAAATCCCTCCACCCTCAAGAGTCTCGCAGCCAGCAGGGCATAGCCCACCTCTCCTTGCCTAGGCTGGTGCCCCTCAAAAAAAGCACTCTGATTCTTCAAGTCCCTTTTGAATTGCTTTTCCACTGGGGAATGCAGACTCCCAAATGCTGAGACAGAGCACAGCACATTAGCTCTTGGAGCAAGGAAAGCAGCAGAGCAAATGGGGAGCCCTTTGGGTTGGCCTAGAAGAAAACACTCCAGGTGAAGTTGGTTTGATCCTCACACTGGCCTCCAAAGTTGCCCACACAATGTAAGTTGAGTCCAAGGAATAGGCTCTTTTGCCTTTGTCCAAAGCATCTTTATCAGGTGGGACTTAAAAAACAAAACACTAAAATTAAACAAAACTAAAACGCCAAGCAACCAACCTAGAACGTGTCTGAGTGCTGTGACAGGGAGAGGAAGTCCCCACCCTTCCATGCTGATGTCGCCCAAGCAGACACCCTTCCTGCCTGGGGACAGGACTGGCCCCTGCACTGCGCCAGGCTGTGGGAAGTTTGGCAGTGATAGCTGCATCAGCCCAGCTCCCAGAAGCCTAAGGCTGCTCCTGCCCTAGATTAATGGGGGCTGAAACACACTTACTCCTCTGCATAGAATGCTTTGTAGACTAACCCACAGAGATAACCTTGCTTCAGCAAGATTCTGCAACCTTCCACCCATTCCAAGTCCTCTTTTTATTAAACTGGTGTACTTTCAGAACACCTCATTTTGAACAAAACTTAGGAATCTGAAGTGTCTCTTACTTGTTCATAGAATCGATTGTGTGCAACATAAAACTTGGAATCAAAAGATTCTTCCGTTACTAACACTTGTTGTCTTTCACCAATCTGTGGAGAAAAGGGAGAAAACAGCAAAGGTGAGAATCCAAAAGAAATGCCAGCCCATAGTTATAGAAGACTCTAGATTGCTAGATACTTCACAGCTAATGCAAGTACCACTGGTTCAAATTTCCTGAAAGACATCATTAACCATGTAGTAACATAAAATTAGCATAGTGTGGAATCTTATTTTCTTACATTAAGGGCGAAACAAAACTTGATCTTATTTCCTCCTTCAACATAAGTAAGATAATTAAGGCTTCTAAGACATACAAAAATCTTCTAAATATCACTTTGTTTCTTAAAACAAAGTTGCAAAACAAGCCAGAACAATCTGCTTCTAATCCAAATGCATGAAAATATTTTGGCAATATGAAAGAACAGTAATAAACATTAATTTGCGTTATGAGGGATGCAACACTAAAGAAAATGCCTCAAAAAGTAGTCATTAAGTCCTTATACCTAAATATTTCACATGTTGCATGTAATTCTGAAATTACTGACTAATTCACACAGCTATTTACTTATTATTATATACATTTTCTCTGTCACCAGCAACTGCCTCTTTTTTCTTGCAGTCATGACCCCCAAGTTCATTTTTTTTTAAAGAGAAGAGCTCACAAAAATATGGGACTGTTGATTCCCTACAGGAATGATCTACGTCTATGATCCAAACATGAATTTTTAATGACCAGGAAGTTAAATCAGCCAAAACGTTGGTTAAAGAAATGTGACTAGACTAAAAAATTTTACCATTTCCAAGTTTATTTCCCTGTGAAATGCAACACTTAAAGTATCGTTTACTTGCTTTACAAGGTTGTCAAATTGTCTGATGTAGCAAACCAGCTGTAATGAATGATTGTGCTGGAATGATTTTTGCCATTGCTACTTGATAAATACAACCCCACCAAATTAAATCCCATTGGCAAGATTTTTAAAAAGCACCCCCTATTCTTATTATGTAGGGACTTGTCACCATGTTCAGTTACCATGTAGACATAAACACAGCTGCACTAAATATACTACCTAATAATCAAAATAGAAAATATTAAAGGTCCTTTCCATCCTATAACACCATTACGTCAATATACCATAATTTATTATCTAATGTACCACCTCATTCAAATGTAGGCCTCTCATCCAAAGGTGGTAAGGTCTCTCAGAAGACACTTATCAAAGGCTTATTTCACTCCCTGAAGACTAGATCAAAGTCCTTGCAACATTAATCTCTCTTAAAAATAAAGAAGCAAAAAAGGAGAAAGTTTCCCCAAATTCTTCTTTCAGTTTTAATGACTCTGTTTATTAAAAAGGACTGATGAATATTGGGTTTCGCTGAAGTACATTCTTCTGGAAGAAAACTTAGAATGTTTGCACACATTTCACAGTATGAGTTGCTTATAACTTACGACAAGTATCTGTCAATGGTTCTTAAGGAAATCTGCAATTACACTTCATCTAACATTAAATTTTCAGGAAATTAACAACAATACGAGATTGTAGAGGCACTGAAAACGTTAGCTGCTTCTTTCCTCTTGTTACAATTAATGTGGACAGATGGAGTCATCATTTTGGGCTATTCCATTTTATCTGGAAATAATTATGATGACAACAACACACACACACATAGAGTTAGACTGGCTATGTTTATACAGTCGAGGGCTGGGTTTTCAATCAGAGAACTATTTGTAGGTGAGTATTTAACTATTGCTTGCCAAAAGGACTCAGAAGAACTGCTATATGCAGTGATTTATAGCGGCTAACACCTCTGTAGTTACCCTTTTTGTCCCCTTAGTCACAGATCTTGTGCTATTGGTGAGGCTCTTAAAGTTCCCCAGAGAATACTGGGCAAAGCCGAGCATTAGAAATCTAGGACTTGGATCAAAAATGCCATAACCTATCCCTGCCCCCTAAGAAAACAGCAAAAGTAAATAATAAAAGTTCTTCATTATTATTTTTATGAATGAAATTGAAGTACATTTTGAAGGTGAAATACAATCTCTAAGAGAATCAACTACTTCAAATAGCTTAAAAGCAATCATGAAACTGAGGGACAGAAGAGTTCAGACAGGACTCTGGAAGAGACAGCTTTGCCTTGGTGATAATAAAAGAACTTAAGGGCTAAGTGTGTGAATATAAACCTCAAGTCTCTTTTTCTCAAACGAGCCACCTTCTTTTCTATGTTTTCTCCCCAAGCCACATGATAACCCAGTTTGGCTAAAAGATCCACAGAGAATAATATTTAGGATAATCATCCTGATTTTCTGTATCCTAGCACTGCCTCTGCCACCAAGCAAGGAAGTTCTGGCCTCAGAGGAAATGGCAGGAGAAAAGGCAGAAGGTTCCAGATCTCCTCAGTGTGGGATGCCCAGCTCCTGTTCTCTAATTGTGCTACTGGCAGAGACAGGCCACCAGACGAGGCACCTGGTACAGGCTCACAGAGAAGGATGCAGAGCACATCATCTCATCAGTTATTCTGTAATCCCGTGGACTTCGAGATTAACTAGAACATCCCAGGTCAAGAAGAAATGTAAAAGTGATGTGGAGGAAGAAGGAATGGTGAAAGTTCTAAGAAAGGGGTATTCAAAACCATCGCACATTTGGATGGCCAGTAGAATACTAAGAGATCAGGGAAGCTTCTTTTCAAGACAAAAGAGATTTGATGCTTCACTTTTTCCTCATCTAAAACATGAGAATTTGGTAGAAATGAGATGGGAGTGGGGAGAGTGGTTCCAAAATCCCAAGTTCATGGTAGACCTGGTCTGCCTACAAGGTTTCAGATGGGGGAAATACAGATTGGATCTAGACTAATGTTTTACTTACAGTAAATATATGCTTAGAGCCCTTTGCAAATTACAGCTATTTTCTTGTTGCACTGAAGGTAACAATCTGATATTTGGTAGCCAACCCAAGAATCACTTGCAAGTCTCTCAAACAGCTACCCAGCAACTTGAATCTCCTTAAATTAAGAAGCCTGCCAACAAAGCCCTTTTTATTTTCATAATCCAATGGAAAACATCCCTTTCCATTCTAATGAGCTTTAGAGGTATGTCATCTATAGTGATTACATGCTTGTTTAATTTCTACACCACTTTAGAGGTTAAGAACCTCGGTTGGGAACGCAAATGCTGTTAACAGCTTGACTGTGGGAAACTCGGTTTCCATTTGCAAAGTTTGACCGTCAGAAATTTGTCAGGACTTCTGAAAGTGTATGTCAGTTCCATACCTGATTCAAAAAGCCAGGCACATTTTGTAATTTATTCATCAAATGTTGGTAAAGAAAGTAATTTCTCTGACAATGTGCAGAAATTCCTTTAGTCCATTTTAACTATATTCTAAAGAGACATTTTAAGTAAAATGAATTATAAAAATGCTCTTGTAAAGCCATCCCTCCATTTCACAGATTGGGGTGCCAAAGTGCGAGGAAGTGCAAGTGTAGGTTCCCGCCAACCCCCATCTTGCATTGCCGGTGATCTCATAGAGCTGTTAGATACTATGGTCTCAAAGGAGAGTATGGTACAATTTTCTAGACCTTATTGAAGAGAGGTAAGAAAAGCTCTCATACTTACTTGAGCCCACAAAGGAAGAAAAATAGATGGTTTTCTCCAAAGAAGGTAAGAACCAGAAGGGGGTTTAGCAGCCTCTGATTTCATATACAGCAAACTGAAGTAGAGCAATATGAGGTGGTTTGCACAGAGCCAGTGGCAGAGGGAAGGAAAGGCAGTCTTGGAGCTATTCCCACTACTTGCTGCCTTCTACCTAATTTCCTGCTCTAGAAAATGTACACCATGAATCTAATTCTGCACCGCATGACTTTTCCTTGAGTCGAGAAACATCTGTGACAAACAAAACACAATTTTTTTTTTTAATTCAATTTTTGGGTAAAATGTTCAGTATGTTACATAATCAGCTAGTTGTGTTATTTGTGTCACATCTAGGCTTAAAATTTCCCAAGTGCCTGAAGTTGTGAGAAACATCAGTTCTAACCATATGGCCACATAACACACATAAAACAGGCACTTGCATTAAAGAAGCAGTGGTTTCCAGCAGGATTTGGTTGCTGAATGAATGCTCATTCATACACACGCTATTCTCCATTTGTCCTAAAAGAAACAATATATTTCATGACTGTAAAGATTTAATGAAAGAAGCTGAAAATAATCGAAGACAGAGAGACAATAGAGAAATTACACAAGGGCACTATTTGGGCTTTTTACCTTTAGCCCAGTCAGCAAGGTAACTTGTAGAAGTACTGGCTGGACTGCAAGAAGCCAAAAGTTTCTTGTAAACTCATAGGTGACTTTGACTTTATGTAAAGTTTACTTGTTGCTCCTTTTTTTCCCTTCTCACTTATGTTTTACTTAAACAGAAAACTTCAGATATGGCTTTGCAAATAACTGCACATCAATTTTCCTCTGAAGGGTTAGGTTAGAAATTTCTAGATATCAATTTAACTTCTCAGAGTGTCCAAAAAACATTCACAAAGGACAGATAGATACATATTTGAGGACCTGTGTAGGAGAAACATTTATTTCTTGAAAACAGTTGTAAGATGACAAATTATTTTGCTTTCCCTGAAAAGTTTCTAGCAATTACTTTTACTATCCAATTGCCTTAGGAAATAACCCAGAGGTTAAAACACACATAACATAAGCTTTCATAATTATTAATATCACATTCCTAATAAACTTGAATTTTATCTCTGTTTATCCTACAAAATAGTCTGACATGCTACTTCTGCAGCGATTTTTTTTTTTTTGGGTTGATAATAAAATACAATTTTTCTACCTGACTGGTCTCTGAATCTATGACTCTGGGAAATGTCAAATGTCTTTCTTTAGCTCCAGTCAAATTAGTTTTTTTTCCCTCCTAAGCTGCCTGGAACATGTTAAACACAAGACTGTGACCTTAAACTCTGAAATAATATTTCTAGTGTCTGCGAAAGCCTGCCCTCACATACACCTTTAGACTAATTACTGCAGTGTAATGTTGCCAGTGAACCACTGTAATTA